ACCCGCTCCCCCCCGTTCGTAAAAGGATGGAAGGAAGAGAGAGAGAGAAAGGGGGGGAGGGAGAGAGAGGGAGGGAAGGAGAGAGAGGGAGAGAGAGAGAGAGAGAGAGGGAGATACCTGCGCTCCGTGTACCACGATTATACTCTCCACCCTATACACAGAGAGAGAGAGAGAGAGAACGCTATACACAACCGTTGAAGAGGCCGCGATGCGCCGCCCCCACCGCCGACAACACACCGACGATCATCGCCAAACCCACCGAGCGTTTTGCGAACGCGTAATGCACGCGGCGAGCACGCAATTCCTCCACACGTTTTACCTTCCTTCCTTTCCAAGCGCAACGAATGATGCCCCGACGACGCTCGCGTGGGTACGGAGGGAAAAGGTGTTCCTTCATCGGCGCCGCTCGACGCGGAGTCGCGCTGTGGTGGTTAAATCAAAGACAAACCACTTTAGAGAGAGAGAGAGAGAGAGAGAGAGAGCCAGTCCGATCGCGGAAAGGGGCGGAGAGACGCTCGAAAACGAGAAGGGAACGAGGGGATGATAGAAGTGGTACCTGTGTGTACACAGCCGAGTATCTGACGAAAGCTCACGCGCGAGACGTCTGCACGCGACTCGTCCATTCAGCGCTGCGACGCGCTCATGTACATTAACCATTTTCATGTGCGTGTCGTACGTGTAAGTGTGTGCAACGATGCGCACGCGACCAATACAGAGGCACGCCGGCCTTCGCGGTGCGATCCTCGGTTACGAGCGTGTTAAAGCACGTGTGTGCGCGCAACCCCTAGCGGAATACCGTCCGGCACGCCCATTGGCGGCTGACGGTGGCTTTCCGAGTGGTACGAGCGGGGGTTAACCACGCCCCATCGAGGCGGAACAAGCCCCCGCTTTCGCCGTTCCACTTGGCCGTTCCACGGGCCACGGTGCCACCGCTCTTCGCTCCTCGGCGCTAATAATACGCCGATATACCAGCAATTCTGCCACCATGGCTCTACGCGGGACTCACGAGAGTAACTGCCACCACGGTACGCGCGCCGCGTCGACCTACCTACAAAGACATCGCTAATCGCGCACTTCTCTCGCCCATGCGGCCCGAAGGATATATCCTAAATCTACCATTTACCTGACATACCTGACGTGTCACCAACAAGTATCGACGACTCGCCACGTTTACCTTCGGAAAGTGCAATTTCATTGGATCGAATGATCCTGTCTCGCGTCCGTTAATCGTTTCACGCCGTTTACGACGATTCTATTGTAAGAAAGTTAGTGCCGCGAGACCGACCGCGTCAATCAGGATCAGTGACGTTCAAGGAAGAAAAGTGTGAATATAATGCGTACAAGTACAATGGATTTGCGCTGACGTGACCGATCAGTCAGTTGGTTTGCTAAAAGTGAAGTTTGCCGATCGGAGGAATTTGCGGAACGAGTGTCCACGAGTGTGACTGTTTACAATTTTCGGAGGGAAAGATGAAACGACGCGAAACTAGATAAAGGAAGATCGTCTCTTTACTAGCGGGTAATGTGGAGGATGCAGGAAAGCAGGACCGTGTCACCTTTAGGACCGGTCGTCCTGCAACGAGAGGAAGTCGATATGCGTGCCGGTCTATCGCTGCCGCCGCAGGAAAGGAGACCCGTACTGCTCGTACGCACCGGCGAATCATTCGCGAGATACGATAACGTACGGCAACAACAGTCGCCGTCGAGTCCACCGATCCTACGATCCGTCACTGCCGTCGAGAAGGATCAGTATCGCGACACAGATTCGCACATCAGGGAGAAACGGTCCAACGACGAGGAGGAGGAAGAGCAGGACGAGGAGGACGAGGACGAGGCCGACGACGAGCGAAACGCATCGAGCGGGAGGAACGTTGTTGTGGACGAGGAAGATGACGAGGAGCAGGAGGAAGAGGAGGAGGAGGAGAGCCAGCTGCCCGAAGGACATCGAAACGGCAGCTACCACGAGGACGGGGACGTCGAAGTCGACGTGTGCCGTGAGGACGCTGACGAGAGTAATCCAAGCAGTCCGGTGGATCTCACGGCGCCCTCGTCGAGGGGCGTCTCATCCGAGCAATTCGTTCATCCGTTCGCCAACCGCGTACATTCTTTTACCTGTGTACAAAGTGGCGGCCACGGGCCCGCCGGTCACGGAACACCAGTGTATATATCCGGGCACGGCGCTACCGGCTCGGCCGTCATGACGGTGTGTACTTCCGGTGGCGTGGCGCGCACCACCACCGGCACGTCGACAGGTAGCATTACCACGACCGCCACCAGCACGGTGCAGACCAACAACAAGCGGTGCCTCGCATTCTCCGTCGAGAATATCCTCGATCCGAACAAGTTTACCGGTGGCCGTGTCGTCCATAATCGTGTACAGCATCGTCGACATCGGCGCGCCGGCAGCGTGCACGAAGGTGAATAAAAACGGCCTTTCAGTTTTCATTTCTTATCCTCGCGCTGTCACTTCCTGGAACGCCCAATTCGACGTTCCTGATTAGGGCCGGAAAGCTGACACGTATCTGTGTCGAAACACACAGTGTGGCTATCTCAGCAAATGAACTAAGAATAACCGAACGCGTGATGTCTTAAGCGGCGCGTTTCAGTCAGAATTTAATTGAAAGAGAAAGAAAGAGGGAGAGAGAGTCAGCCTCTGACTTAGAGGTAAACTCTAATTATCTTTTCGGAATAAACTTAATCTCTTTGATTTTTATTTCAAAGTAGACATGTATATTGATTACAACATTCTAATATAATTGCAAAATATATTATACACGATAATATATTCGCGTATTTATATCTTTTATACAGCCGTTAAAAAAATATATAAGTAGACAGAGTTATTTGTAAGAAAACAAACATTTAATGTACAACAATTATAATTTGTATAATCATTGCATAGTAGAAATGTTTTATATACGAGCACTGCTTTTATATTACGGAAACGGACTAATTGTGGGTTTATTACAATACTTCAAAAACAAATCTTCGTAGGAACTCACGCTATGCGGTATTATCCATTCGGTTGTTTGCAGAAAAAAAATTGATGCTTTCTCCACACTGCTGGCTTGAAAAGTTTCACGCGATCTCTCAAGCGATATTTTTCACGTCCGGCAACTGCGTTTTAGCCCCCTTGATGCTTCATTGGTCCTCTCTTGCTTCTTCCTCGTTCTAACTTTAGACGCTAGAAGGAGGACTTCTTCTCCGACGATCGTGCAATTTTGGGAGCTGTCGGGCTATTTGCGTGTACGACGATACACGAAGATTCCAGCAAAAGTGACAACGTAGGGATATTTCATTCGAAACGTGAGAATGAAACTCTTCCAGCGTCTCATTAACGTCATTTTCGGTAATATTAATATGGTTGTGAAGCGATACGCATAAGGTTTCGCAACGCGATGGAGAGACTAATTTACATATGAGAGAATAATAAAATATATGGAAAAAACAGTTTTGTTGAGAAATCTAAAAATTTCGCTACAAATGTAGATTTGAAGATAATTTTGTTCAACTATCAAAATAATTTATATAAGTTGCTCACTGTGCTTTGAGATTCCAACATAATTATTTTGATGGCCCAACAAAATTATTATCAAATCTGTATCTGGCCAAGTTTATAGATAGTCTAGCAAAATCGTTCACTTTGCGTGCTAAAGTAACATGTAATGTAAATAGTACATTTCTTGTACAAAAGTGAACGCTATTACAAGATATATGTAATCCATGGATTCCATTAGCATTGTTCTAAATGTTTGTAGGATATAAACTAATTAATATTGGAACTACAGTATTTTGCAAAGAATTCATATTTTTGAAAAAAGGCGTATTAGATGCGGTATTTGTAATCGTTGAAGAATCTTAATTTACATTCAGATATTGATATTTTATTATAATTCTATGCTAAATATATCAATCGTTTTGTCTTAAGAATTTGAAAGATAATCGTGTTACCGATATATGTAAACAATTAAGTCGATCCCGCCAATTTTTTTGTCTTTCTTTACCCGAACTTTGCAACCGTGAAGAAAAATGGTCGGTGGATCGGGCCGAGTTCGGTGACAGTTTGCCGCGTAGAATCCCAATTTCACAGTTGACTTTCGAATTTAATGGAGTCTGGCGGGCAGACGAGAGAAGTGGTCCTGCAGGCCGATAAGGGATGGAAGAAGTGTCCCGAAGAAGGGGTGAATCGAGGCAGAAGCGGCGACGACG